CGGAAATACAAAATATACAACCGTCAACAGATAGGATAGTGCCTTTCATTCACGATTTAGATGAAATCGTATCTGAAGGTGAGGCCCACGTTAAAGGAGCCCAAATAATTTTAGAGCCATTAGCAAGGCAAACTTTACTCAAATATCTACCTGTAATATATGACGATTTATGCAAAATGGACAGTTACTTAGAAGGTTACAAGGGGTACAGAATCGTTAAAAAAACAAAACTAGTCCCTATCAATAAACCACTAATCACGCAACCCCAGTACCAACAACTACCAATAAAAAAACAAAATTTCGGTAGTAATTATAGGCCCACACAGATGCCGCAATTCCCTTCAAAACGGCAATCGCTACAAAAACATTCTTATCCACCATCACCCTTTTCGCTTAGACAAAAACAGAACTTTGTACCGCGAAACCAATATCAACAGCACAGACCCAATAATAATTATCCACAACACTTCCCACATCAGAAAAACGAGGACGTAACAATGCGTACAGTCTCGGATAGACCTCCACTAAAAAGACCGCGAGAAACCGTTTTTAATATCGAAACGAGCGATGAAGAAACTGAATGCAATCACTTCATGCAATTTTGTGAAGAGATGTATCAACAAATTTATAACACAGAAAATCCTGAAATAATACCCGAAGAAAATGAGGAAAATTTTCAATCGGATACCGAACAAACGAAACCCATATAAAATTTCACCACAAAGTAGGATTTCAATTACCTTACATAATAATACCTAATTACAATGAAAAAATGTTAATAGATACCGGCAGCGCTAGATCTTTCATAAACCCGCGCATCGCTAAAGAATATATGGAACAAGGTTTTGCAAAGTACGTAGACGAAAGTTTCACAGTCACCAAACAACTAAACATAAAGGAAAAATAATTTTACCACCAATGCAACAAATTTTCGGTTCAAATAATAATAGAAACTGCCGCGGAAACATCATTTGATAAAATAAGACACCGCATTATAATGTTAAAAGACGAACCTATTTATCAACGCCCTTATAGGTTACCTGAAATTCAAAGACAGGAAGTTACAAGACAAATAAAAGAAATGTTAAAAAATAAAATTATCAGACCATCAGATTCTCCTTGGTCAAGCTCTTTACACTTAGTAGAAAAATACGTAGAACCGGGAAAGCGTAAGAAATGGCGCTTAGTAATTGATTACCGAAAGCTAAACGAAAAAACTCGGGACGATAAAGGACAATGGCGAACTCCCATACAATTTTTTGTTGAAATTTTTTCTGGCGTCTATAAATGAATTGCATGTTAAATTATAGAGTTTACATTCTTGATTTGATTCATTTTATTTCTTATATTATAGGAAGTCTGGATTTATAGATATTCTACTTTGAAGTTTTGGAGGTTATGTCCTACCAAGTAATGCAAAAACAAATTATAAAAGTATCTTCAAGAGTATTTTTATATCAAAATAAAAAATACGTGGAACGGAACTATAGAAGTATACCGGTCCTGAAGATTAGTGACGAAAAAAAAATGTTTTTTACAATGTATGATCAGTTGGCTTTCTTTCTTTCTTTCTTTGGCGTAGGTACTGACCAACCGCGTCAAAATACTTATTATCAGACAAGAGTTATTGAGTTCAAATACAATGTCTGTGCTGTAAGAAGTACTTAACAATTTGAAAATGCCCACTGCAATAATAAAGTATAAAAAAGGATTTCTAATAATGTACTAATGGGATATTAATTAAATATGCAACACTTTTTATATATTTTTTATTCCACATCGTTGATCACAATATCGTAGATAGTAGATACAATGAAATAAAATCCACAGTATGGGACAGAATCGTGTCCAAAATCCACAGCAAAATATCAGATTCGGAAATCTTAGGCAAGCACTACTCAACAGTCGCAGAGAAAGATTTCGAAAGTCCAAATACAGTCCAAGTCACATAAAAAAACAAATCTCAGAAAAACACAATACGCCGATTGAAATCTTTGCAATATGCATGTACCTAAGCACAAACAATGTTATAACACTATCAACAACAATTCGGTGATAAGAATGACAGTGACAGTTATAGTTTTTTTTTGTTAGAATTGTCGCCATACTCTTTTTGTATTGTGGAGATTATTTAATATGGTTTCAGTATAATATTGAAAAATAATGTTTCCCGATATTTTTGATAGATAATTAAATACAGTTCAAGCGTAAAGCGATGCAAAACATACGAACAACATATTTAAAGTTGATTTCATCACTAAAATCACTTAAAATGAATGGCTCAAAAGCCATCATGGCCAAGCCACAATAAAAAATAAATAAATAGTCAATTGTGTTTCCCTTTTTCTAAGTTTTTAATTCCAGACTTAGACAACCCTCCTCAATTGTTTAATAAATCTTTTGAGATTATTTTATTAACATTTCTGATAATGACATCTATAGACGCTATAGATTTACTTCAACAAATATTTCGCCATTGTCCTTTCCTCTTCCCAACATTGAAGACATCTTTTCAAAACTGAACGGGTCTAGATTCTTCTCGACCTTAGATTTAACTGCTGGTTATCATCAAATAAACATGGATGAAGACTCGATACCCTTAACCGCGTTCTCAACACCGGACGGACACTACGAATATACTCGGATGACTTTCGGACTTAAAACAGCGCCTGCTACGTTCCAACACGTAATGAATAACGTACTACGGCCACATTTAGAAGCAGGGATATGCCTGGTTTATTTAGATGACGTCATAATTTTTGCCCCTAATGAGCAGGAACATCATAAAAGACTAGAGGAAGTTTTTAATACCCTTAAATGTTACAAACTTCGGGTTAATCGAGATAAGTATAATTTTTTCCAGACCTCGGTAAAATTCTTAGGACACATACTATCTAAGGACGGTCTTAAACCTTGCCCTGAAAAAATTGTCGCTATTAATAAATTCCCTTTACCAAGTACAATAAAAGAAATAAAATCCTTTCTAGGATTAGTATCATACTATCAGAAATTCATACCTAACTTATCACAAATTATTGTAAAACCTATAACGGAATGCACAAAAAAAGGAAAAAAGATAATACACGACGAATTGTTTAAAAATACATTTAACCGAGCAAAAGAACTCATATCTAATCCACCAGTATTATCATACCCTGACTTTGATAAAACTTTCACAGTGACGACGGACGCTAGCGATAAAGCTCTCGGCGCCGTTATCTCACAGGATTACCACCCTATTGCATACGCTTCACGAACGTTAAATGAAGCCGAACAAAAATATAACACAACGGAGCGAGAACTATTAGGAATACTGTATGCATTAAATAAATTTAGACCCTACATTTACGGACGAAAATTTATTCTTGAGAACGACCATCAACCACTTACTTGGATAGCGAAACTTAAAGAACCAAATGCAAAGTTAACTAGATGGCGTCTAAAGATGCAAGAGTATGACTTTGATATTCGACATAAAAAGGGAGCTACGAACTATGTCGCCGACGCGCTATCGCGAATCGAAATAAATCACAACCAATCCACGGCTGCTACGATGCATAGTAATTATGACGATTCTAGTTCAGGATTTGTTATCAGACATGAACACCCGCCACGTCGAATGAATCGTATCTTTGTCACCCTCGGAACATACGCTATTAAGCCCGAACTAAAAACTCGTGGTACTTACGATTATCATCTGACCCTTCAAGAACCAAATGACTTTAAAAAGTTTCTTATCGAATATTGTGGACAAAAAAGGTATGCCATTATCTGTGAAACAGACTTAGGTCAAAGGTTAAGAGAAGTTTATAGAAAAAACTTTAACACAAATTCGTTAGAGATCGTATGGTTTAAAAGTATCTATAAAGAAATAACCCAAGCCGAAGAAGTCCAAAAAATTATTAGACAAACCCACGAACACTTGCACAGACACTTAGGAAACCCAGCATTATGTAAGGAAATATCTAAAGAATATTATGTGGAAAATTTAAAGTAACACACCAGTTACTTTCTTAAGCGATGCACCACTTGTAATAAAGTGAAGTACGATAGGAAACCGATAAATCCCCCTATGGAAAAAACACCCACGTTTGATAAACCAATGGAAAAATGGCAACTTGACACCTTTAATTACGACAAAAATAAGTTTTTAACAGGAATAGATTTATTCTCTAAATGGGTTTTCATGATTCCCTTAACAGAAAACACCGGTTTAAAGATAATCGATGAGCTAACCAAATTATTCATGTTATTAGGGAAACCACGAATTACATCTACAGATAATGAATCAATTTTTCAAAGCGAAGACATTAAACATTTTTTTAATATGATGAATATAGAACAATACACCCCCACGCCTCAACATCATACTTCACACGCTGATGTCGAACGATTACATTCTATTATCATAGAAAGATTACGTACTCAGAAAGAAGTTATCAGTAAAGTTGATGTTCCTTTAGCACTTTTTGCCTACAATTCCACCATTCATAGTACGACAAACAAAACTCCGAACGAACTGCATTTCTTACGAGAAATTAACTTACCTATTCAAGACACAATCACATGCGACTATTTAAACGAAATAAAATAAAATTCAGACTGTAAAAGATAAGATCCACGCTAGACAAAATAAAATGCGACAACCTAATATACCCGAATTAAGAGTAGGATTAAATTTTTTTATTCAAAAACACGACAGAGGAAAAAATAAAAACGCTTTTAGAGGACCCTATACAGTTAAAGAAGTTTTACCTAGAAATAAAGCTATATATTCTACTTATAATAAAGACCGACAAATTCACATAAGCCAAATAAAAATTCCAGATGCTACGGACGTCTCACCCCCTTAAACGGACAAATTGTAAGTATCAAGCAAGACAAAGCTTGGGTCCAGGAAGACGAATGGACGTTAATACATCCAATAAACCTTCAACCGTTGTATGAAGAATATTATAAACTCCCAAGTTATAATTGAAAACCTTAAAATTAATCGAAATATGCAGAAACATCGTATTACGTACGTAAAAGAACAATTATATCACTGCATTTATAGATTACAAAAGCCCCAGCGGAATAAGAGAGGTTTGATAAATGCACTAGGCTCAATAATGAAAGCAATCACCGGCAACCTTGATAATAACGATTTAGTTAATATTGATAAGAAGTTTAGCATAACCACGGATATTATGGATAATATTACCAAAAGAATTCAGAATGTTTCCGAATATATTAATATTTTTGTAAATCAATTTAATGAAAACACGTCAAGAGAAACAATTGTCAATGAATTATTATTTAGCCTTGAAAGTCTCAAAGATATGTGTTACAGAATTACTGAATCATATGTATTTGCGCAACACGATATATTACACCCTTCGATCATTGACCAACTGCACTTAATGGATAGTTTAAAACAAATACCTGCTTCAATAAATGTATTAAAAGACCCCTTAAAACTAGAAGCCCAAATTACTCCTCACGTTATAATAGAATCAAACATCATGATATTTCAACTTCCTATTCCTATAATTTCCAAAGACTTTTATTACTTAGAATACTTATTACCTATAATAAACAAAGTAGATGAAAATTGTTATATTCCCAACCTCATGCCTGGCCATTACCTCATTAGAAATAACCAAGTGTATAAAGCTAAAGAATGTAAACAACGGATTTGCACCATCGATGTGACAGACGACTGCATCAAACGAAGTATCTTCAAACAAAAGAACGAATGTAAACAATTGTTAGTATTCTGCCCTGCTACTTACTCAAGAAAAATTAATAACAACCTATATTACCAATACACAAACAAGGAAAAGTCTATTGAAGATCGATGTACCTCAGAAAGGAATTCTCTGCTTGGATCTTACTTAGAAGACAACACCGAGTGCTTCCAGCAAGACGCCAAAACAGAGTTACAAGTTTACCAAATGGATGAAAGTTTAGCAACAGAGATTATGAATAATTATCCCATATCATTACCTAACAGTAATGAAGAAGTGCAAGAACAAATCAAGCTCTTACGACGGTATGAATTAGTAGATAATAAAGTGGAAACGTTATACACAGAATCATATATCACAGCTGGACTAATAACAACTTTGATTACCGTTTTCTGCGTTCTTCGAAAGAAGATACGAAGATACTCAACACTGGGGGAGGAGAGAAAAGCACATGGTAAAGCTGTAGATAACGTAAAACCCTCATCCCTGGAAGAGGGCACGAGGGATAACACTTGCGACACTATTATTCATTACGATTAACCTATCATCGCATGATAAGATAAGGGATGACTTAAAAACCAACATTCCTGGAAGAGGTCACACAAGATAACCCTCAGGAAACTGTCATTCAATATTAGTGGCTCACCATTAGTTAAGGGTAGATAATAACATGCATGTTGAACTAGCTGATAAGTAAAATAGTATAAAAGCGGCCTGCGTGCCAAAACCAATGTTCATTTTATCTCCGACTCTGCTCTGTAAATAAGCTTAAGTTGTACTTACAATAAATTCTTTTTTTAACGCCTCCAGTTGTTTCAAATTATTAACTCGCGCGACAAAGCGAAGCGAAGAGCAACGTCGCTCGTAATGTTTGGACGCTGTCTGTCTCTTTCAGTATCGCACAAACAATACGAGTCCTCGCTCATCAGTCATAAACCTGAATTTGCTTTTTCATTTTCTATTAGATTCCTTTTAGCGGCTTGGCAACATTGCAAGCGCCTACCAAGGACATATAACGTCCTTGGTGCCTACCGAGTCAGGTTTTGTAATAAAAAGTATGTTTGTTGGATTCTTGTCCAACGATAGCTCTATGAAAGAAAACATTTGCTAAGTTGCAAATTTTATAAAATAAGCTATCGATCGATGCATCTACGCCTATGCATGTAGAAAAGACTAGAATAATAAATATAATTTTATATTCTTTCTTGAATGTATTTTTTTTATTTATAAATCAGATGATACTTAAAAGATAATATAAGGCAATTAATTGCGTGACTGTTTTTTTTTTGATAATTTGAGACTTTTTGGCGAAGTTATCGATTTTGCTTTATTTAGTCACTATTTCGCTTATGACTTGTATGACTCGATATGTATTTAATTATTTTCTACTCTTACTTTCAATTTAAAATATAGTTTGAAGATTCGGAAGTTAAAGATTAATTTATTAATTTTGTACTTTATTGTTACAAAATAATATCTTTCTAACGTTGTTACTTCTGAGGGCCTACGTTAAAGTATTTATTTATATCCAATTAAGTAAATACATTAAATTTTGCTCATTACAGTTCATCAAAATAAATAGGTACCTATCACGAAAGATCTCTTAAAAAACGCTCCTATTCGTTGCTGCCGCGGCTAGCCTATAAAATACCTATATTAGTATTACTATATTATATATTATACCTATACATATTACTATACCTATATAGGTAGTGTCTCGAGCAAGAGCCGGGCTTTACTCTAATCGCCGTAGACTGAAAAGAATAATTTTGTTTTTTTGTTTAGCTCAAATATGTAATGATGTCAATTGACCTGTAATTTGTGAATTTTAGTAAATGTGAAAAATACAGCTTCTGACGTCTTAAATTATTAGAGTTATTTATTAGTCTTTTAGTAGGTAATCATTAATTTTAAATGAAGTAAAACTAAAATTAAATAAAACTAAACAAAAATAATATACAATAAAACCAAAACTATAATGCAAATTTTAATATAAAATTCCATTCAGGTTAAAATATGAACAAAAAAACCCAATTATATGTGTATTATTTTGAAAAATCTTAGTTTATAATAGTGTTTATTGAATTATTTTCTGTTATTTTTTATATTTTTTTATTGCAGCGAAATACTGTGCGGCTATGGGTGAACCGTTTCGGACACGAAGGACACCTCGACACCCGATCAAGACAGCCCGAGCAACCATTTTCAATTTCAGCGGAACAGACCCAGCGAATGGTCAACATATATTCAGTTGAACCGTTCACTCCCACACGAAGGTTTGCTGAAGAATTTGACTGCTCCGTCCGTACCGTAAGAATGACTCTCCATCGTGCGGGCGTGCATCACAGACGGCCAGCGAAAAAAATAATTTTAAGCGAAAGAAACAAAATTGATAGGGTGCGATTTGCGAGAGAGTACCGTGATTTTGATTTCTCACACGCCATATTTGCCGATGAAAAATGTTTTAAGTCCAGTCAATTAGGACGGCGGCATTTGTGGCGTGTGGATAACACACGGTACGAGCCCCGTAATGTTAACCCCAATAACGAATCGGGCAGGATTTGTGCCAACATGTGGGGTTGGATGAGTGCAGCTGGTCCGGGGGAGCTTGTTGCTATTTCTGGGAGGACTAACGGGCAGGCATACCTGGAGCTCTTACAAGAGGCATTAATACCTACCGCGCGGGTGGTATATCCGGAATCGGAAGTACCGGAATTGATTTTCCTTCAAGACAATTGTCCGATCCACACTGCGTACGTGGTTCAAAATTGGCTCCAGGCACAGCCCGATATACGAACGGTGCGATGGCCCTCCCGTTCCCCTGATCTAAATCCCATCGAAAATATGTGGGGAATAATGGTCCAAAGATGGGACAACCGTAATGAAAGGACGAGAGAGGCACTCGTCACACTGTGAAACAGTTTGGGAGAGCATACGGGGTTCTGACCTTTGTGAAAAATTAGTCAATTCAATGAGGTCGCGACTTGATGCCGTCATAGACGCCAATGGTGCCGCAACTTAATATTAAATAAGGGCCGATAATAAATATTATTATAAGTGTGAGAGTTTTTATGTTTGGATGTTTGTTACTCAATTCCGTAAAAACGTATAAACGGATTTGGATGAAATTTAGCACATATATAGTTTATTTTCTGTAATTTTTATTCCGATTAAAGGTTTCCGAGGGATTTTATTAATTCTAAAGTTCACGCAAATGAAGACGCGGACAACAACTAGTAAATAATAACTAAGTAAATATATGATGTGATATATACAGGGTTAATTTTAACCTACCTGTAACCTCGCAGTACTAAATAGCTAACATCATACACAACAAATGTTTGTTTTGCGAGTTTTGAAAATTCGTAACATTTTATTTTCATACAAAGATAAATATAGAATTTATTTTTGTATGAAAATAAAATGTTTAGAAAATTTGTATTGATCAAAGTATTGAGTTATGTCAAAACTCGTAGAACAAACGTTTTTGTGTATGATGTTAGGTATTTAGTACTGCGAGGTAACTGGTTGTTTAAAATTAACCCTGTATTTTATAATCTAAATAAGTGTAAGTTTTAAGAGCTTAGAATAGGCGTTATAGTTCTAAGTTTGAGAGTTTATTCATTTATTTATACATTTGGGAAGACTTACAGTACATGAAACTTATTTATAGGTGCTTAATAAAAAATGAACAATAACAGGTTTTCTCATTTAACAACAATAATAACTATAAATAAGTAACTAATAATTATAATTTAAGAAGAGTTCATGTTAGGAGAAATGACACTTCTAATTTAATTGAAATCTAGACAAGCGGTAGCGTGTCAAGCCAAGTTCAAGCTAACAGAGCTGGCGAGCAGCACCGTGTGTAATATTACACGAATCATTTGGAGCCACTTTTGATTCCCTTATAACTCAAAAACTATTTCACGTAAACATGTCAAATTGGGTTCATTTATAGAGAACTAGCCAAGTCAGACCTTAGGTTTGAACATAATTATCGTAAGTTATAAGAAGAAGTGTTATTTTGAGTTGTTATAAAATATTAGGACTGACAATTGAACTTGGCATCCATTTAGATCTCACTTCTTTTGTCATTGAAGTCAACAACCAAGGTAGGTATATATCATAATATTGAACTTGGCTATCATTTCACATTTATGTTTTTGGTGGGATGTACTTTTAAATCTGTGATTGCAGTATTTAACTAGTTTTAAACGGATTTTATATGAATGGCCTCAAATATTTTTGCGCCTCATAAAAACGAATTGTGCAGCAACAAAATATTTGACAGCCAATTTGGAAAGTCATCATTATATTAATTACTTGTACCGTAGTATTAGACTGTTTATGTTTTCAGAGTTTATATTTATTTAAATTGGTATTATCAGGGTATCAATTATAACCAAAAGTTATGTAAATTATAAATATCAATTATATAATATGATATTTTGACGACCTCCGTGGCCGAGTGGTTTGTACGCTGGGTTTCATGGTGTCGCCGACTCGAGAGGTCCCGGGTTCGAATCCCGGTGGGGGCAGATGTTTGTGTGATGAATACGAGCATTTTGTACTCCAGTCATGGATGTTTAAAATGTTATTCTATATAAATACACACATCAAAAGTGTCTAGGGATCAACATATATTTTTGCAATAACTTTTCTCCTGATTGATAAAATTTTCTTTAAGGATTCATCAAATAAAGTGTTTTCGTTTGTCACAGTAACGATAAACCAAGTCACCTTTGCATTAATAAAGAAATTTGCCATTTTCCTAATAAAGGGATTTTTGACATTTGAACCACTAACACAAAAGTTCGAAAAAAAGACTGAAATAACAGTTTTCTCTAAAATTTTATTGGGTAACTTAAACAATTAATAATCCGTATTTCTACCGCGAACACTAACAACACAAGAACATCGGTTTGGCATACTCAAAATGAGTTCATCCAAATCACGCTGTGGAATGGCCGCCCATGTTCGTTGCAACAACAAAAAAAGGTCTTCTTGCGACTGGATACCCTCCATATTCGGCAGAGCTCTTCTCTGTAGCATATCCCATGCATGCTCAATCGGGTTCAAGTCTGGCGACTGAGCAGGCCAGGGCAGGACATTGATGTTAGCTGCGGCGAGAGTCTGTCTTACAACTCTTGCGGTGTGCGGTCGTGCATTATCATGCATTAACTGAAATAAGGGACCGATTTGCACTTGTAGAGGAACGATGACGTCTGATACAATCGTCTCAGCATAAATTTGAGCGTTGAGGTTGCCTCTGATCCAAATCAACTCAGTTCTTCCGCCGATCCAAATACCCGCCCATACCATGATGGTTCCACCACTATAAGGATGGACTTCCTGGCAGGATTTTAATCGCTGTTGGCGTCCAGGGGTTCTCCAGTGTCGTATACGTCTTGTATCCGGTCTCATACCAAAACGAGACTCATCAGAAAAGCACACGAAACGCCATTGTTCTTCTGCCCAATTTCTGTGTTCAAGAGCCCATTGATATCGAATCCTACGATTGTGCATTGCTATAGGTG